ACTTACTCAAAAAGGACAATTAGGTTCTACCATTCTTGTTAGTACTAATATCTTTTTAGAATTAATTTTAAACCAACCGTGTGTCACTTGTTATGATATAAATCCTTCAAATCGTAAAACTAAGATTAGAACTGATGGATTGGGAATTTGTGTTACTAGTATTTGTATGGTGTGTTCTGATGAATCTGAATATTCTAATGAAAGGCCAGGAGACAATTTTTCTAAATGTTTGGCAGGTGCTGGTTTGGTTGGAGGTATTAATAAAGAAGAATTACAATCCATGTTAGCATTACTAGAAATCACAAGACAAAGTGGGCATCAACAATATTTTGATAAGCAAGGAGAATTTTTTCAAAGTTTATATCAAGCAGCAAATACTAGTGCTGAAAATGCTTTGGTAATTGCATGTGAGAAGCTTCAAAACGATGGTCAAGATATATTAGAGGTATCATTTGATTGTATTTAGAGTCATGTACGTGAAGCTTCACAAGCTAGTGGAGAATTTATTTTTAATGAAGAATTGAAAAGTCGGTTATATATTTAATAGCATATATAAATATGTTAGTTATTATATATTGTATTAGTATATCATGTTATTTATTTTCAAAATTGAAAATTTTATAAATGTATAAATTTTAATATCGTTACTTATAAAAGAATATTTTATTTTAAATAAATTTAATATTGGGTTTAGGTTATGGACATCACCCAGTTCTAGTTTATCATGTAGTTGAAAAGAAACGTGAATATAAAACTAAAGACGGAAAGATTATTACTATTCAAGAAGGTAATTATGATAGTAGTTCACAACAAATGGAACATGCTATATTAATTGCCATAATTGAGAAGGTCTTGACAGTGTTAGAAAATTATAACATTAAATTAAATGTCAGAGTTAATGGAGATCTTTCTACAAATAGAACTTTGGCTTTATTAAATGTAGTTAATCAAATATTTGCAGACTTGAAATACAAAGCTAAAATTGTGTGATCGAAGATAGGTAAATTAATTATTCAATTAAATATATTAAATATTTGATTTTTATTAATTATTAATTGTAATTAATTTATTAATATTATTAGCATCAGATCGTAATTGGTAATATCTTGAACAACCTATTATGAGTTTTTATACAAGATGTGTTTATGCAGCATCTACAAGAGCTAATGACTCAGAAATTCCAACTCCAACCGATAAGGAATTAGCATGGATGCATACTGAAAGTGTGATTTGCCATTTACGAGGGAACCATATAAAATGTTAGCCTGAAGTTTGTTGGATTGTAAAGAATCCCGATTTGAGCTTATCAACTCCCAATTTAGTTGATATAGATAATAATCAATGTAAACGTCTATTAGAATTTCTTAAAAAAATAATGAAACTTAAAGAAAATTAAAGTTTGATAACAACAATACGTACCAGTTATAATGAAGCATTTAATTGTTTGAAACTAAATTATACAGAAAAAAAAACCGATTATCCAAAATTATTTCGAGCTCGTCATGTACTTTCAGTTATTCATAATAATAATGGTTTTATAGAACTTCAGCGTAAAATTCGTGTTGCAGGTAATTTGGTGAATTTTTCTGATCAGGATGAAAAGAATCTATTTAGTATTTGGAAACAGAGAGAACAAA